GTACTGTGCACAGCCTCCGACACTGTAAAAGCTCAAACAAAAACAAATTAAGAACTTCAGTCAAAGGGTCATTGTAAGCTTGCTAACCCTCTCAAGGCAGGCGTTGCAGATTTGCAACAGTTAAAAACTAACAACCTGATTACCCCACATACATATTTTATGAGGTTTTTTTTTTTTACTCAGAAGTACCACTGCAGGACTTGGTTGTGCATTAGCAACAAAAAGTTTAATTTGAGCCTGAGAGGGTTAAATTTAACGTCACTATTCATATTTAGTCATGCATCTAGAGTAGCAGCACTTGCAATACTAATTTAAAAAACAAAACAAAACACAACAACAACAACAACAACAACCACAACATCCCAGGTGTTTTATTGCAGGGTTGGATTTCAACTCATAACCTTCTGTTTGATAAGCAAAGATGATGTACTGCCATGTGATGTGCTAACAACCGCTGTATCCACTTCAAGATACGTCTCAAAAGTACTGTATTACTTTACCCATTGGGTCGCTGTGAAAAAGAATGTTCCACTTACTTTCTTGTTACATATTTAGACATGTTTCCATTTCCTTTAATGTACTATTATCAGCTAGGCACGGGCATATATACACAGTTGGTACACTGTGTCACCCCAAGCTTTCTGGAACCAACAGTTGCTGTTGTTTCTATGGAAAATACACAACCTGCTATACCAGATTTTCTCAACTTGACATTTACAGTTGATTTCACCAGTGTTTTCAAACACAGAAGTTGTCTTGACAGGCCAGCTATACTAATAATGTCAGAGTGCTACTCTCTTTGGCAAGTGTCATTTTTTAAATATGCGCCAGAAAGAATGACACCATCCATGAAGTGATTTTCTGAAGGACAGTCCCTGGACTCCTATTTTTCCGTGATCTAGCTCCACATTTAGACTGAATTCAGTCCAAGATTGTTGACTCACTTGGTAACTAAACTTTTAGTAGAGGAAACCTGATATTTACCCTTTTAGGTCATATCAGCTTAGAAGAAATACATCTAAAAAACACATACACACAAAAACATTCATTTTGAATTTGGGCTTTTTACAGTGCAAACCATCTACAGAAACAAGGGCATCACCGCTGAAAAGTCTGACAAAATCCAATATGCCTGGCACTGCCCATAATTACACAACCACACAAACACATGCAGTGACCTCATGAGAGAGTGATGATTGGCATGACAGCAGCAGCGGAGATTAAAGACATAAAATGTTACAAAAGAGTGGAGCCTGAGTTCATATGGGCGTGTGCTTGTGGAGAGAGAGGCTCTGAAGCGAAGCAACTTCCACAGGAGCATGAGAGACAATTAGAGGTTTGTTTTCTTTTTTATATCTCAGCGCATCCAGACCTTAGTTGAACCAACAGAAGACGAACAAGTAGGAAAGATTTAAAAGAAGAAAAAAAAAAGGAGGTCAGACAGCACAGAGTAAACTATACTCTCACCCACTCACCCTTCACCCAGCCTGACAATGCACTGTGGGAAATGCCCACATTTACTAATGCCCAGTCAGTGCCGCAGGTGCACAGGTTTTAGGAGTAAAGAAGCTATTGGAAAGGGGGGGGAAAAAGACCAGAAAGCGCCCACCAAAGTATCTGCAGGGATCTAACCCCTGGCATAAGTGCAGCTTCAAAAGAAGTCTCTTTATGCTCTGTCTGCATTTTGATCTATATAAAACTCAAGTAAAAATCCTTTCACCTGTTTCCCTTCTGGATCAAGTGGACTAGATGGGAAGCTTTTCAAAGAGGAAGTTGCTTCATACCAGAATCAGACTTTTATACTTCCACAGCATCCTAAAATTGAACGGCTTTCCACAGACACAAGACGGAAAACGGCTGGAATACAAGTGGCAGTAGAGACATTTTCCGAGCTGAGCCGAATCTGATAATCTGCTTCTGTGGCTGCTGCTCTAACCCGAGGTGACGGTCCTCCAGCAGTTACCGAGCCACACCTCATCTGTCAACAGCTATGCTCTCACAATGTACAATTAAACAAAAGATAGCAGTTTGCTTCGCTGTGGAGTTTGCGGTTTGGGCCGGTGGTTATTTGTAGCCTTAGTCTTATCAGGGAGGCGGCTTACATGAACATGAACACGCAGTCCGTTTTCCTACACCAGCGCGCCCTGAAGCCTGCTCTGTTTTGTGCTGGCTGTAGCTCCATCTGGAATGTGCTGGCTACAGCTGAGTCTGAGGCTCAGGGGTCAACCACGATGTGACTCTATTTCACTTGGTTGAGGGAACAGTGAGTATTTACCTTACAGAAACTACAAAAAAAAAAAAAAAGGGAATTCTTTTCATTTCCTGCACACTTTCAAATCCCGTAATATCTACCATATGCTCCACTATAGACAAAGAAAAAGGCTCCGCCAGAGCAAAGTGGCCTAAATAATTGTGAGTCTGTAGAGTGAACTTTGGCTAAGGGGTAAATACAAAGACAACACAATTACAGCTAACATAAATGGAGTCTTAACACTTTGGAATTACCAGCATTTGACTCTTACAGTGTAGCCTGATTTTCATCTCAGTCACAATTAAAGATAAAAATAGCGACACTAACAACACCCAAGCTTTTTAATGTCAGCACGTCAAGTAACCGCTTACAACCTGGCTGGAAATTTTTAATAAGTCTTCTCTAAGGAGATGACAAAGAATCAAGAGCTAAAAAGTTTTGGTAGTTACAAATTTGGCTTTCTCTCTTACTCGTGGTTAAAAACCAAACACCTGTAACTCACTTTAAAAGAAATGAAGCTGAGGGGAGGTTGGGTGATGAACAATACAAAGACATAGAGAGTAAAAGTAAATCAAGACGTGAATGGTTTAAATAATTAAAAAATTAAAAATTAAAAAAATAAAAAGGCTCAATAGAGAGTTTGCAGAAATATACAATGCAAGAGTCAAAAAAACAAAAACAAACCATGACTGCGCATTGATTTCTTTCATATAAACATGGCTTCAAAGTCACTGTCTGCATTGCAAAGTTATAAAGCATGTTTTAAATTGATGTACGTTAAGAGCCTCTAAAACAATCACTTAGTGTTTTTATATGCTGTGGGCTCATTAAACATCAAAACACATCCTCTTAAAGCACTTCAAAAGCTCTGAAGCTTGGTTGCAACTAAGCTGACAGTTCAACCCTCAAGTAATTTGTCATATTTCCAGTGCAAGTATAAAATACCCCATATGAATTTGCTGCATGGCTTTAAATTCCACTGCCAAGTACTGCATTACGGATGACAGCCATTGATAAAATTACCACTGCAGCACTAGAATGATGACCTTTACATGCCAAGATTAACATAATTACTAACAGCAATCCATCAAGGGGTAGCTTAAGCACATCACATCGACAAGGTGTGGAGCTGAGCTATGCGTCAAAGCTATGTTCTGGAAAAGAGCCCCAGTTGCTCGGACTAAAGCTCATATAGAAGGAGCACAATAATCATGGTGCTGGCTATAAGCAGTGCAGGAGAGGCAAGCCTCCTCTTGGTTCTGCTTGAAAATGGGAGTCTCCTACCCAGTCGCTCTGCCAGCTGGCCGTCTGCCCAGCGCCTGCCGGGCAGCACACTGCCATTGTCCTTTAGTTGTTTCAGGGTGATCTGAGAATTAAAATAGACAGGACAACAGATTCTCCCTGTTTATTCGCATGGAAACAAAGAACAAGAACTGCAGGAAAGTGACAGAAAGCTCACAATGCACCAATTAAAAGATTAAAGCAATGTTGCAAACTTGGCTACGGACAAAGACAAAGAGTCCCCCGTTCTCTCCTCTGTTGAAATACTAAAGAATACTGACTAATATGACTAATTGAATGCAGTGTTATTGGAAATCTGACTAGCAGCGCATTCACAAAGCACTTATTTAAAGGTCATTCAAAATTATCAGCGTCACAGTCACACTCCTAACATGCATGCAAAGTTTTAGATGTCACTTCCTGAATCCATTAGGTCTCACAGACTGAAGCTCCTGAATGTTCCCAACAGAAGGAGACCGTGTTTGTTCTTGGCTGCTCTGGTGGAGCCCCACGAACAGAGACCTCTGTGCTGTGGCCCTTCTCCAAAAGGGACCATCTGTCCCCCGCAAACTGGACCTAACCACAGCGGCCCTCTCTGCTATGGGGCGACAGAAAGGGACATGCAGGGTTGATGTGGCCCAGCAAGTCTCCAGAATAAACCACCACCTATTTCCATCAGCACACATCATCCCCCACCCCGCCACTTCCCAGCAGCCTGCTGCTTTCTTAGCTACAGCCATACCAATGGCAGCCTGTTCAGAAAAGTACACTCTCTCTGGGAGAGGAGAAGAAAAACGGTGAGAGGAGAACTCTCAGTTTGCAAAAGGAAATTGTTCAGCTCGAAAGCTCTCAGAAGATCTGTGCTTCTGCTGTCAGGTCAGGCAGAGTCCACGCTGTCACATTATCACAGGCGAGAGAGGGGAAGTAGGTGTTTGACGCGGTTAAGACAGAGTCAACACACTGACGCAAACACATTCACACGCATCAGCTGGGCAGCAGCACTTATGCAGCCTGACAGCAGGGCGACCTCAGCACGCGTCGCCGCCATAGACCGTCTTTCCCTCCTTGTACTCAGTGCAGCAGCTTTTTATTTCCTTTTCAAAGTTTCTTCCTCACCGTCAGCCCGGTGCTGCTGACAGAATTTTGGTGTAAGAGAGATAATTTGGACTTCAGGGCAGCAGCTGCAATCTCTGCTGCTGACACAAAACCATGTTCAGTCAATCAGTGGATGTGAACGAAAGACAGGAGCAAGCACGGATATACAGATGAATCACTCAGTCACCTCACAAGAACTGTCTGAAACACAGAAAGGCCGTACTCCACTTTTTATGAAGCTGATGCTGCACATAAATGCGGCTCAAACAAAAGTTCATGTTAACTAACGTGCATTATTTAGCCTTTACACCATTTTCCTGTGTGAGGCCATTAAATGAAAAAGCAACAGTAGATAAATAGTTGCCATGCTTACCTGATTAATAGAGTCCTTTTTCATCAGAGCCATAAATTCTAAGAACAGAGACCTGTGAGCTACTGTGGTAATGAGCTCACTGTGGAGATGCTATCCAAGTGCATTAAATCCATCAGCCACTTGTTGAGCACAAGCCACCCAAAAGCACACAAAGAAAGAGAGGAACCCGACACACTCCACGGCAGAAAGCCTCGAAAAATAAACTGCAGCACCTTCCTTTTGCTCCTTTACTAACAGCTAGCTTGGAAAGAAAAATGGAGAAAGGTATAAAGAAGAGAAGGAGAGAGTAAAATCAGGACAAGTCTGGCAGCTATTTGGAGTCAATTTAGTGAAATGCATACAGCTGCCCCTTAATGCACACAGCCCTCCCCCCTGTGACAAAGCCACCAACAGCTGAATGAGGCTGCAGCATTAGCATATGTAAGGGAAAGTAGGTGGCTGTGTTGGCTAAGAGTTGGGGTGGGGAGCAATGCTGAGTGTTGGTGTTGGTGGTTGGGGGCAGGGAACGGACCGTGACATTCAGAGCTTCTCGGGCTGACAGGAAGGACAAGAATGGAGGGGAAAAAAGAAGAAAAGAAAAATTGGGGGGGTTAGCTATTGTTCCCAGAAAAAGATCCCCAGATCAAGCCTGTGACCTTCCAAGTTCCTCATGATGGCTGACATTTGGAGTGATGGGAGATGCAGGAATCCACTTATCCATTCTCTCTTATGAACTACAGCTTGGTACAAAGGTCTGTCTGGCAGACAGAGCTAGCAGCAACCACGACCACCTTAAACACAGAGATAAGCGGAGAAAGGCCCAGGAGGAGGCATCGTTTTTTTCTTTTTTTTCCCCCAAAAATGATAATCCCTCTATCCACATGCCATATGCTAAGCACTGCATACTTTTTCCCATCAGCAGCAGAGACTGCAGCAACCAGACACGAGGGAAGGCAGGGAGGGGTGAGGTTATGATGGTCTTCAGAGCAAGAAAGGAAGAGAAATGTATGAAAACAGAACTCTGCAGGACACCCCTCTCTGGTGTTTTGAAGCAAACAGCTGTGGTTTTAAGGTTTACACACTCTCCCGTGCACAAACACACACACACCAACCAACAAAGATTAACTTATGTGCTGCTTCATATCATCTCATAAAAGTTGCACAGTGAACACTACAGATGGTCACTTCTCTGTGCCTGCCAAGTTGGTAGTCCATTTAAAAAAAAGTTTCATATGGCACTGTAATTTTCACTTTCGACATTAGGCTGCCATTAAGTGTTTGTTGATGAGAGTCACCCGTGGTCAGCTTGCTGTGTCAAGGCTCTAATATGGATTTAGTGAAGGAGGCTGGTTGGAAATCTGTAAAGGAGTGGCTGAAATATGGGTGTGGAGAGCAATAACTGTGACCTACACCACTGAGGACAGTACTGCTGCAGAAGAGTGGCTTAAAAACTGAACTTGTGCCTTTTTAGTAACTACAACCTACTATTTGTAAATATGTTTATGTAACTGAAACTATTATTTCTCAAAAAGTCAGCCTTCCCGAGACACAGGAAGGCTACAGAAAGAGCATATAATGTTACATAATTAAGCTTCAGGGGATTTAATTGAAAGGACCCAAACATAGTGACAACTCTAGCCACTTCCTGATAACGGCTTTGCTCAGTTTATGGTTGGAGGTAGGAACGTGTTAATAGCAGGAAATGACAGACTTTAATCAAGTTGAATGAATGGCAGCGGGTACAAGTCTTTGTGCCACAGTCTTCCTTTGATCCAGCCTCTGCAGGCAGGTTCTCAGCTTTGATTTGAGTTGAGGGGAAGGAAAGAGTTTTATTTGAAGAGTGGGAAGCCCACAGGAGGTAACACTTAAGAGTTCTTGTCACTGCATCCCAGCAAACAGACAAACTATTCATCAGCCTACACACATGTGCAAGCAGGGCCTGTGGAGAAACGCACAATCCCACAAACGCTGCTCGTTTGCACACTGACGGACGCGTTTGATGGGTAATTTACATAGTGATGGTAGTCATTACACAAGCGGATACGCATGCAGAACAGCATACATTCACAAAACACTAAAATAACATATTTTCTAAGCTCATGTTTCAAACACTCCAGAAAGAATTTGGACTCATTTAAGGAAATATACTGAAAATTGGGGTCTAAGCTAGTGGCCATCTGGTCCATTCTGAATGAGCTGAAATATAACGAAATAATGTAGTTTTAGTGGCAGAAGAGACACTAATTCCTGTAGAAAATTGCAATCTGGTCGAAACTGTTGATTTCCTGAGTTAATCTCATAAACTTTTTCAACTCTTTATGTAGATTTAAAGACAAGCGAAGCATTCTTCCACTTGTAGCTAATAACTTAATATATTGCACACCTAATGAAGTTTTAAAGGAAATAATTTTGCTAGCTTTTTCTCCAGAGAAGCTAAGAAAAAAAGGTGTTTTCCAGGTGTTACCACAGTGGTTGGAGCTGCACATTTGATTTGAAACAAAACATCCGATTTATTAGGGCGAACACTTGGAACACACCAGCTTGTGTATCCCTGAGACTGGGCTTGTGTTTCCTTCTGGTCTCAGACAGGGCATCTACACCATGTATGCCACTTTACATAAAAGAAAGTGAATAAAAGCCAACTAAAAAATAAAATAAAATTTAAATAAAATAAAACAGCCCAGACTATATCATACCTATGGCAGAGCAAGGGTAGGATTTGTTTTGTTAAGCTAGGCGTGGTTAAAAATACACAAAAAAGGTTGGGCTAAATAAAGCTGTCTATACAGCAGCAGCACTAACAACTTAATATCAACCCTTTTCATCATATTGATGTCAAAAGCTTTGGAGCGTTCATAAAACGACTCGATGGATAAAAATACTAATTCGACACTGAGATTATTTGTGTCTGTGAAGCCTTTTGATTCTCAGCAACCTTGAGTGTGACTCGTGTCATTCCACAGCCAACTTGCAGCTTTCCTCAGCATGGCCGTGAGGAACCCATTGAGCCTTGCTATATAATTACAGTAAACAAGTTAACAAAGGGGTTTGCCTGATTGCTTCCACCAGGGAACATTTAATAACCCATAGAGAATCAAAGGTACCTGTATCTGCTGAGATTGAGCCTCTTTTCATGAGCGTGTGACGATAGCCAGGCATGTGATACACTTGCTTCTCAGTATTTTTAGTCTGGCTGATAACAGCAGGCTGTGGGAGCACAAGTTTCTCTTTTAGTTATGTACAGAGGGTACTGTAAGGAAAATGGCCAGTTTCCCCTGCTGAGAGGAAGGCAGGAATAGCAGCTGGCAGGCAACAGTCAGACACATCATCTCTTGAATGTCACTACTCCCCTACCATCTCCCCGCCTCCTCTCCTTTCCCTCTCTCCACCTTCTCTCAGTTTATTCTGTATCTGTTGTCCAAATTCACCAAAGAGCCAGAGGCTGCGCTGCCGCCTCCACCATCCATAACACTCCATCTATACAACAGGGGAAGACAGCGAAAGAGAAGGGGGTAGTGGGCACATGAGGTGAGCGGGTGGAGAGTAAACAGCAGCTCTGCATCCCTCTATGTTGTTGCTAGGCAACTTTTTCTGCACATGACAGCCTTGAGTGACAGCAGACCTCCCTTCTGAACAAAGATGGAAACTTGAGGGAGGGAAAGGAGAAAGGAGGAGAGAGGGGCACAGAGATCAGCGGTGAGTCAGAGAATTCAGGGAAACACGCATTATTGCTTCAGGCAGTTTGAGGCAAAACAAACACAAATGAAACACAAAGAGAAAATCAATAGTCTATAAAAAGAGGGGAACCAAAAAGATGCCAGATGTGCAAGAGAATATCAATGTAGCTGTGATGGTTTCAAAGCTCTCAAACAGTTGTAAGATGATTAACAGAAGAGGTAAATAAAAAATACACTAAAACGCTATTTTTTTTTTTCAAAATAACTAGACAACTTTGCCATTTGGATGTCTAAATGATTGAAAAACATCGCTAGATGGTCAATACTATAAGCTGTATATAAAATATGGACGCAGTTGCCATGGCGTCATCTCTGGTTTGTGAAGACCCAATTTGAAGCATCGAATTTCACCTTATGGCTTTAACCACATTTAAACAAGACGGTCGAGTGCTAGCACTTATTGCGTGCTAGTTGGGGTGGTTGTAGCTCAGGTGGCAGAGCAGGTCAGCCACTAATCAGAAGGTCGGTGGTTCGATCCCAAGCTGCCTCCTGGCTGCATGCCAAATATCCTTGGGCAAGATACTAACCCTGTGTTTGCCTACTGGTGGTGGTCAGAGGGCCCGGTGGCGCCTGTGTCCGGCAGCTGTGGCTACAATGTAGCTTGCTATCGCCAGTGGGTGAATGACTGAATGTAGTGTAAAGCGCTTTGGGGTCCTTAAGGACTAGAAAAGCGCTATACAAAGCGCTATACAAATACAGGCCATTTACCAGTTGTGGTTATTAGCTTGTAGCTTGTAGAATGCATCTTGTTAGCCAAGCTAGCTAGCTTGGTTAAAAGAGGACAACTAGAACTTCACTTACACACACAGACTTCTTTTGTCTGCTAGTATGATCAGCCACACAGCCATCCATCTTCTTGTCAGATAACTGGATTCAAATGCTCCAAACAACAAGACAAAGGTCCAGTTCAGTGACTCAAATTAGCCTAGCAGACAGCTAGCTGTGCAACCCCCCCGTTCCTTTGACTTCCCCGTCACTCAAAATGGCCACAACTTTAATAATCAACATTAAATTTGCCTTTTAAACTTTTTAAAAGGATGAGTCAGACAACAACACACCCCTCTACATGTTGTCATGAGGAGGGAAATGCTCAGTTCAGCTGTAAATTGAGTGGTCGAGTGGTTGTTCAGGGAACTTTTGTTTTCAGCCTCTTAGGCAGTCCTTACAGCCCAATACATGGGAGACAACAAATAATGCTTCATTTAAAATCTGAGCACCACATTTCCCAAATCATTTGCTTTGCAACCGTATCTCTGTTTATACCAGATGAAGAAGACTTCATTCCCTGCTGCTATAGTCACACTGCTGAGCAAACCCATAGATTAATTTTTGAACAGTACAACATTGCCACTGGCTTGCTGAACATATCTTATCTGAGCAAGTTGTTTTCATTTTTTGCACACAGTATATCATTACCAATAAACATATGACTGGGATCTCCTGAGGCGAGCACCCATCCTAACTTTAGTTTGGTAAAAAAAATTGGCCAACACCAGTGGTTCAGGTTCAGTGCATTTTGTGTGCAGCACAGATGACGTCCTTCATCCATAAGGGACATAATAAGGGTTTGTGACGAGTGCAGTGGTTAAAATTAGCAGGTGAATGA